CAGCATATCCATCCCAAAGATAGACTGTGTTATGAACAGTGACACTACAGGTGGTTAGTGTGGGTTTCAGTCATCTCTGAGAATAGATACCAAAGGCTAACTTTGAGCTGGATGGCTGCAGGGTTAGGCTCTTCATGAAGCTACTATTCTTTGACACAGTGGTGAGGTGGTGTCTCTTTGAATATCAGCAAACCACATGGGAGTGTCTTGGCACAATGGATATAATGCATTAATTTACCTTAAATGAAGAAAAGTCCTGATTGTCAAATCAAAGCAATTGTTTGTTTATATAATAAACCTTTTATAAAAGTCTTACTGTACAATTTTTCCTTACTTCTATTGTGTTTTTTTTTTAAAGAAACTGTACAGAGATTCTAGTGGAGGCAACTACGCTTGATCTCCGGAGCAGAGAATTTATCAGTTTAAGAACAGGCAAAGGAAGGAAGGAAGGAAGAGACAGGAAAGGCTACAAGTTCAAGATCTTTTGGGATCCTTTTGAATTTCAGATAGAATGCTCATATCTCCTTAGACAAGCATTGCAATCAGCAGTTACATATTAAGGGGACTTCTTTTCTTCGCTTTTTTACACAACGCTCCCGTTTAATCATGAAACGGGAGCGTTGTGTAAAAAAGCGAAGAAAAGACGTCCCCAATGCTTGTCTAATGCAGTTGGTTGAGGTTTGCAGCGTGTTAGAGGTAGATAAATGTTTATCAAGGGTCAAAGTGTTTTATAATGGCACAAAATGTCATGACACAGACAAGTGGTTTGCTTGTTTCTTTAATCAAGTTGAACACCACTTCAGTTGCAAAGTCAGTTCTAGGCTGCTTGCATGCTAGGATTAAAAACAACGATATAATAAGAATAGGAATCAACAATGATTCTTACATTGGTGGAAAATTTTAAATTTTAACTTTCCCTTGTGATATAATTATAGTTTTGATATATCTTATTAGTTTATTAATTTTAAATTTCTGTGATCATTTGTTAATATGTCTAGTTTTGTGATCTGTAGTTCCATCTT